GTATGATTTATCAATAAACCTAATGAATTTGCATCTTTGTAAAAAATAATTCAATTCTTTCTATCTTTTTTTGAAATAACTCGTAGCCAATAACAATTCTAAAGGGACAACTAATAAGATTTTTAATTAAAATTCAGATGAAAATCTTTGTGTAATGAACTATTACAATGTGTGTACAACCCGGTGTGGTATTGTTTGTATTGTTAAAAACTATTTAATAGTGATAGCTAGTGGTATTGCCCTTTAGCTCAGTTGGAATGTGAGAAGCCTTAATTTTCATCCTGAGTGCAAGAGATGCTAAAAGAAAAGTGTGATATGGATTGAGAATTTTGTAGTGACCCACTTTTGCCTCTCCAGGAAACATCGAATCTATCACACTTCAAATGAGTGTTTCATAGACAATATACCATTTTTTGTTTTGCTCTTGCTAACAGAAACCATTTGACAATGTTTGAACAGTAATCACATATTAAATGTCACTAGCATGGAATTTCAAGCTTTTGAGTTGGATAACATCCATTACTAAAACAACTTATTGTATTACAAATATGCATATACACACCACCAAAACATTATACATAGCAGCTACTTCCATATGGTGAAGTGGTAGCAGGAGGATTATGGGTACATTTACCAACTGCAATGTAAGAAAAGTGTTAATTTAAAAAATAGATTCTGTTCACAGCTACAATGTATCTCCTTCAAGGTTTTTTATAGCTGAAGGCTATTATTTATTTTTTGTCTAAAGTGTTACTGCTACTCCGTTCTTTCTTGTTGTTTATTTCTAGTCATTTTTATTATTTATTATTATTAATTAATTTGGCAGATGCCTCTATCCAAGGCATTTATTTGTTTAATTATTCAACAATGTTGTTTAAAAGACTGACTGGTAACTTGTTTGGAATGGTGACTATTAAATATCAAAATTTGTTTTACTTAAATGAGCTGCAATTCTTTTAATTGGCTGCAACAGAGTGCTCTTGCAATGCAAGCTTATTGTATGTAGCTATAAGAGTACTACTCATAGCATCAAATATGCATACATAAACAATGTTGTTGTTTTTTTACATTTAAAACATAAAACATTATGACTGTTCCATATAAACTATTTGAAAACTACACATGAATGTAAAAAAGATTAGACTTATAAGGTCACATCACTAACATGCAGGAATTCTATATGGATTCTCAAAATACATAATGGAAGTTTATACAGTAAGAACAAAAGTTTCTAATTTAGGAACTTAAAATCATAGCCTTTCTGTTTATTTAGTACTTCTTAGGCCTTTCATAAAAAAATGAACACATGGTGAAAAATAGCTTTCAACTTTCAAAAGATTTAAACTTTGACCACTATGTTGTGACATCTAGCTTTAATACTGAATATTTATATACCAACTGACATTTACAAGAAAAGTATGTCTGTGAAATGAATTGATTTTTTTTTTGTGATGTTTTAAAAAATTTAAGAAAACGTATTCTTCTAAACCAATATCCTTTGCTACAAAAATTATATTAAAATTATAATAATAAAATCTATGGTTACTTGATGTGTTTAGTATAGATTGAGAGTAGCACCAACAATGGCTAACTTATTACTATATTCTCATTAGGTGAATGCCTTTTCAATTAAATCACTTTACTACAAGAGATATGTTGACAATGCTTTCATAATTTATCAAATCAAAGTCATATTTCCTTTTTTTTCAGCAGCATTTTAACAGCATATTGTTTATATTAAGCGTGCAGTGGAAAATAATTTGTATCAAAATTAGACTTTTTGAATACAGTAGTTTAAAACAATAAGACAGACCTCAACAAATCCCAGCCACCAGGGCAACTAAATATTTCATCCTGATGCAGTGCCAGATTTTAAAAAAATTATATATATATACATATATAGTTCTTCTTTTTGTCTAGTTTGTACGTAAATAAAGTGGCTTTTTAACTTATTATTTTTAATTAGTTATAAATATAATATACTATTGTTGTTGG